TGTTGTTTGGTTTTAAGTTCTGTGAGTTTATTGGGATTGGCAATTTTGGTACAATTTTTCTTGATATTATAAATTATAATATATATATTTGTAATACAGATAGAAATAAAAATATTTGTAAAATAATATTGTATGGTTCTTCTAATTGCTCATTATTAGAAGTGTTTCTTCCTGAAATACTGCATTATATGTTAATTTACAAAATCAGTTAAACAATTTATATTGCTCATGATTCAGTATATTTAATTCTTAATAGATTTAAACGCATACTTTCAAAAATATACATCAAATTACAATATTTATTAATCTGGCATACTCTTAATTACCGCACTTTCCCTTCATTGGGAAGGTTATTCTACTATTTCTTTCATGAACCATAGAGTAATTAAAAGATATATTTTTTTTAATTTTGGAATATCTGTACTGTTAATTGCCAAGCCCGAACTGCGTTGAGATGTGAGAATTGGCTGTATATGTTGTGTCCAGTGTTGGATTTAAAAAAAGATAATTGGGAGCCAAGTGTGGCGTCAATATAGTTTGAAATGTTTCATTTTAAGAATATTATATTTTTAGCTACGTAAAATCATTTTAAATTCATATAAATTATATATATAAATATAAATAATTATTGTATTGTGAAACTTTTATAAGCATGTTTTGACAATGGGACAAAGTTTGTGAGTTAGAATGTTGTGATGTTTATAACATTATAGCAGTTATTTACGATATTAATTCAATCACATTGTGAATAAAATATCTTCTGATAGTCACATTATTGTACGATAAACTTACTCGGTTGATACAAGAATGCGATTAATATAAATTACATAAGGAATATAACCGTATGTATTTTTCCGTCGTCAGATTTTTACGCATGTCATTTTTATGAGTAAAAATTGTCAATGTCAAATTATTTTCGCGCCAAATTGTCTACTGTAATTATACGTACAATGTTTTAAAATTATATTTTTAACTGGAATAATAATGAATTGTAAAATATGTTATTGTGTAAATTGGCTTGGCTTCCAAACTATCTAAAAATGTTGATTATATACAAGTTGTCCGAAGTTTCTTTCGCTCGAGTACCATAAGTTAAGCGTGAACGTATAGCTGCCATTGATCGTGTAATTTTCTAGTGTATTTTTTCTCCGTTTAGTAATAAAGTTTCTTTTATTGAGAATATTGGTTTTCGTTTTAATCCACTAATTATTGTAATAGAATATATTGTATTTCAATCCGTTAGTATTACAACTTGATTTTCTTCAAGAACCAAATGCAGAGCTCAAGGTGCAATTGAACATGTTTTGGCAAAGGATGTGTAACAATGACGGCATAATAATATGCAATTTATTGCGGACCGTCGCGTTGCCCCGTGAATACAAATGGCGTTGGGCGACGAGTGTCATGGCCGACGTGGCGTGATCGATGCAATGCAGTGAAAATCGTTCATCTAATATATTATATAATTATCTGTTGATTTTCTATATATTTATACTTCTTATTATTCGGCCTCAATGGTTTAGCGATTTAGTATACTGGTTTAATTCCGATGGTAGCGCGTTCGATTCGTCACACGGTACAAACGTTGTAAATATGTATTTACAATCAAAACGTATCTATATATTCATTTGTCTAGTACCCATAACACAACATCGAACTAGATGGCGCTGTGTGAATTGTCCTAGGTTATTATTATTATTATAGAAGGAATTATTGAAAAAAGGGCCTGTAATATGGGTCCTAGATTACTCATATAAATACATATTTTTTTGTAAAAGCTTATATATACAACCGGAACGATACAAACAATCATACCCATAAATACAAACGATACACCCGCGATTAACTAAAGGCGCTCAAGCGGTCAACAAAACATAAAATTAAACTCCCTGTTGGCACTCGATTGAGAACTAAATAATAATCTGATCTGTTCACGTAAATACCCTGACTGAGTGAGTCACTAGTAAGGTTGCTTTAAGGCGGAACTACCTGCATATCTCTCACCGACCTTCATGCCATACCATGTACTTAACTGGCTATTTATTTCTTACTAGCTGCAACCCGACTACTGACTTGGTACGCGTGGAATATAACTTTATTTTTCTAAAATAAATGTAGTCTAATTTACTCCTTATTACATAAGCTATCTACCAAAAAAGTCCCGTCAAAATCGGTTCAGCCATTTCAGAGATTAGCCAGAATAAACAGACAGACAAAAATTGTAAATAATGCTATTTTGGTGAATGTACCGTATATATATTTTCATATACATGTAGTAAAAAACGGTTATTTCAATATTACAAACAGACACTCCAATTTTATTTATATATATATAGATAACATACCTGATGCTTTTGTCCCTTTTCGCTTTAAAAGTCTAAGTATATACTTAAAATCGTGCTATGGAAGAGCAGCAGCCTCCTGGCACAGACATTTTATTTATTTATTTACTCTTTATTGCACCAGGAGTAGATATATTACAAAGAACATAAGTACATAATAACTAATAAGGCACAAAAAGCGGTCTTATCGCGTAAGCAATCTCTTCCAGACAACCTTTGGGTAGAGGAAAGAAGATAGAAAGTGGTAGATGCACTTTTATGCTTAAAAGGAATCTTCAACAACTATAGAATGTAGTAAAAATTGTATCACCTTAATAAAAAAATTGGAATTTGAAATTTGTATTTTGAAACCCTGCACAATTCCCACAGTGCCATCTAGTACCAAACTAAGCAGAGCTTGTTTTACACCTACTCGTAGCTAATAAACAACTGTATAATATTAATTTATGTAACTATATTTTTTATGAGGGGAACACTAAAGAGTTTATAGTTAATTTCCTTTATAATGCATCTCGGATTTTTTTATTTGTTTAGACATTCATATACATCTTTATTTCTGCATTAAAGTCTTACTAATTAAATTATAAACGCGGAAGATTGTAAGTGTGGATGTTTGTTACTCTTTCACGCAAAAACTACTGAACGGATTTTAATGAAACTTTAGTATAATATAGCTTATACATTAGAATAAGACATAGGCTATAAATTTCTTTTCAACGCGGGAAATTTATAGCTTATGTCTTGTTTATGGGAAAACGCGCACACAGATATATTATAGGAAAAATATATTATTATAAAATAAAGAGAGAAGTAAAAAGAAGGCCTGTAGAGAAAATAAGATTTTAAAGAACTGAGAGTAGTTTCTCCTGGAGAATAATGAAGGAGATTCAACTGGTAACCATGATTAATTCCTGGGGAATTCGCCAGGTTTGTTTGGTTGGCTAATCTGTGTTCATACTTATTCTAGCATCTCTCGCTAGTATCCCGTCAGCGTATGTATACGGTTTGAGCAGGCCGGTGCACCATACTACTATAATACTTTAAAAAAAATACACTATCATATTTCACTAGTGCGGTACCAGCGTATATTAGGGCAGTTTGGACCATCACTTTATCATAGATATGTCTATGTGTTGAGAAAAGATTGATTATTAATATGTATAGTTGTTCTTAATGATGGAGCTCAAATTATTGATCTAAAGGTCTAAGGTCTAAGTATCTAAAAATCTAGCTGTAGGCAATATATCTCTACTACATACAGCTACTACTGGTGGCTAATATAGTAGATTAATATGTTACTTTACTTGAATAAAACTTTAAGAGCACATACGAAAAAAATACTTTTATTACAGTAACACACAAAACGGACAACCGAATTTAAAAAATACAAAACAATTATTTAATACCAAAACTGCACAGAGTAGAGCATAACAAAAAACAGATAAATAAGATAAAGCTACCTGCCACTGTACAGATACCATAGATTAAAAATGAATGACACAATATTTAATAAATCCTTATTAAATAATTAATATAAGCAGATTTTGTAAAGGCCATGTTTTCCATAGCATCTTGGACTGTACCCAAAATCGTTCACAAATAAATCAATAATTGTTATTATTACAACTTCGATATTATCAGAGAGTGACATAGCCTATAATCTACATTAACAACATCGAGAAATATAAATTGTCATTCTTAAAAAAACGCCCACAAGATAGAGTTCTCTCAAAGCAAGGCCAAGTGCAACCAGTTCACTAGCAGGTATAGGCAGAGATAGGCTTGTTACTGAATAAAAATTAAGTTAACGCATCCCACACACGCTACGGCAAATGCTACGACCGATCTGTACTGTTTAGCTAGTGTCTTACCATTTATAGATAGCTTTATACTGCTTTCCTTAATATAATATATAATACTAGTTACCTCGACTTCACACGGGTAGGTATGATATATATAAACCTTCCTTTTGAATCACTCTACCTATTAAAAAAGACGCTTCAGATTTAAGCATACATAGGGACGGACAGACAGCGACTTTGTTTTATACTATGTAATGATTATAGATGTTAAAGTAGGGATGCTTGTTGCGCTTTCAAGCAAAAACTACGGATTATCATGAAATTTACATTTTTTATTCAAAGCGAGCGAAGCCGCGGGTAAAAGCTAATAGCGTATATAAATTAGTGTACAAAGATATTGTATGTTCAGTCATTTTCAATCCACTCCTAGACAGTGGGATAAAGGGATGGAAGGGAGGGTGACTCGATTTCTATCAATTGACCAAGTCAGATTGCCTTCAGGCGGTTCCCCATGGTAACCAACGAGAAAAATTCCTGGTGAATTTCTTTCGATGGGCTAACGGACTTAATTTCATGTTTATCTTATCATCCTCCGTGCCCCACCAGCGTCTACCGTCATTCAGGTGGGTGCACCCACATCCATTAAAAAAAATCCTACATGTTCTTTGTACTAAAAGTGTTACACCAAAGTGTCACAAACAGTAGATTCGTAACCTAATTTATAACACCAATAGTCAACAAGGGGTGTAGTATTACAAAACCACGCTAGGGCTTCGCACACCGCATAATAACAATTATATTTGTCTGTTGTAACGAAACCTGCGACTTTATAAATATAAGTAACCGCCCACCGCGCCACAGACGTGTTGTGCTGACGGACGCCATAGCTTGTGCGAAAACGCGGGAAAGTTTTGACGTTTAACACGGACTGAAGCCGCCATGTTTATTTTGAAGGTCAGTATTTTTAATTTAGTTTAATTATATATTTAATTGAGATTCTTTAAAAATTGACAATTAGTTTACATTTTCTCAGTATTTATCAAAATTTGTAATATTGAAAATATTTTTTTTTGGTTCGGTTTTTTCCCGTTTTAGGGAAAGGCTAAAGGACTCAGCCCATACAGCCATTGTTTTCGGTAGACAGATTTATTATTCATTAATATAGATTAGCTTTATTATTTACGTTATTAAGTTTTATTATTTACATAATTTGAAAAATAATAATGATACGATATTACAAAAACGTATTTATAAAAATGTTTAATTTATAATGCCATATCCATGGGGTACTGTTCATGTGTAAATTCCTAAATAATATGACTAATTCATTAAAACTAAATAATAATTGTTATTTCCCAAGAAATGTTTTTCAAAGTTAACTAAATTAAAATAATATTAGACGTATGCATTTTTTGTATGTTAAGCTTAAACTCGTAGATAGTGGATGACTTTAATATTCCGAAAAAAAAATTAAATTAAGAGTGCCAGATATTTGTCTTCATTATTATGTACTCTACACCACAGACTACGTAATAATCCATACATCCATACAAATTGAAGTGTCCAAAATATGAAAGTATAGGTATACAGTAAATACATGAAAAAGTAAATAAAAAAAAATGTGTCCGGTTGTTCCTACAAATCTGTGAAAAGGCTGGACCGATTTAGATGGGACTTTCATTAGCAATATATAATATGATGATAGCAAGTAACAAACATTATGAGCCTTTTATTAGAAATTTTAATTATTTTAATTAAAAAATGTAAAATTCCACGCCAACGAAGTCACGGATAACAGCTCGTAATGAATATATATGTATAGATAATATAACTTGAAGAATAACAACTTATTGCTAACAAGAAAGTGATTATTGCATCAACTCTAAGTACTCTCGGTACCTGCCGTACAGTTTTATTCAAAACTGACCATAACTTAACGTTAGAACCTACATAAGGTCATTACGCAATTTGCATTAATAATTTTGTAATTTGAAATGAATACATAACTATGTAAATAAAGCTGTTATATGTACTAACGCACTGTTTATTTTGGTATTTAAGTAATACAATATTACAAATACAAATTAATCACTAATGAACGCACTATTTATTTTGGTATTTAAGTAACCTTTAGGTTAGTGTTGCCAAGCTCAAATATAAAAAACCAGATTTGTAAAATTCTAAATACCAAAACTATCCAGTTTAAAAACAGAACGCAGTAATAATGTTGCAACACTTATATTAATATGCAGTAAATTCAAGTAATTAATGTAATCAGATTTTAATGAAAAGTATTTGATAAAATTATACTGTTGAAAATCAGTAATTAAGAGGCACGTATATTTTAAAAACATAGGATGTTGACAAATAACTGTTTAGAACCCAGGACACTTCAAAAACTAGGACATGTCCTGTGATAACAGGACGGTTGGCAACTACTTTAGGTACATAGTATAAAACAAAGTCACCTCTTCTGTCTGTTTCCTTATATCTTTTAAATTACGCAGCGGATTTTAAATCTATTTTCAGCAATAGATAGAGTGATTCAAGAGGAATATTTATATGTATAATATCCGTGTTATAGTACAGAACAGGCCGAGAAAATCAAAGATTTGTAATGCAACCTCGCGAACACGTCGCAATAATATAAATACAAATAAATCATTAATTGGACTAAAAATTCTGATTTCTCTGCCACGAAGGTTGTACGGAACACCGTACTATAATAATCATATATACATTATTACTTACGTAGCATATTATATGCTACGTAAGTAATAATGATATAGTATATGCTGCATATACTATATCATTTCAATATATAACACTATATAACAAAATCAATATGAAACATCAAGCGCTTACTACGGGATGTATCTATATTTTATTTTGTCATCCATGTAGATTATCAAAAGCTACGATTATTAATAATTGATAATCAATTATTATTTATCATTATCTACAAGTGTAGGAACAACCCCTGCAAAGGGCAATCAAGCATACGGCCCATCTGATGAATGATTAATGTAATGAAATTTATATATGTAATCAGGCATGTTTTACAAATAAAACATCTTAAATGGTTGTCGCAGACGTTAATGACAATAATGTTTTTATAGATAAACTTTAAATCCATAGCACTGACAATATTATCTGATCACACTAATAATGAGTGCGTAGCAACTTCTATGTTGATTATCCCATGCCTCTTACTTGTTATACTGTAATTATTTATATAGAAAAAAACATCTATTCAAAAGAGCAACACACAAGTTTCTTGCTCATTCTTCTTGTGATGAATCTACATTCCGAATGAGCGGTAGAATCAAATATGACTATTCGAAATTGCTTGTAATGAGTTTGTTTGAATAAAGATTATTTCTATCTCTATTTCTATGATAACGTGATGTTCATAGTGTTATTCATGTATATAGGCGACGGTTACCACTTACCATGAAGTGGAAAGTCATTCCACTAGCATAAAATCTCTACATAGTGATTAAGTATGAATATAAAACGTCCTTGGTCATCTAAGTATATTTTACTTTTTATTTACGTAATGATTCGAAATTCGAAATTTGAAAATTATTATAACAAAAGTTTTATACCATAACATGGCGCATTAATAATTCAGTTTTTATTTTGTAAATTACTTAATATTAAACACTAGTGGATAAAAGGAAGTGGTATTATTTATTTGGATTCGTTAAACACATTTCTTGCAATTATACAAGGCGCAGATCCGGCCGCACATGGAATACTGTTCTCACCTCTGGGCGGGAGCACCACAATACCAATATGGAAGTACTTCCATTTGACCGCATTCAGAACCGAGCAGCCAGAATCATTGGTAATCAACGTCTATGTGACAGACTCGACCCATTGGCTTTGCGGCGTGATATTGCATCTCTGTGCATTTTCTACCGCATATATCACGGGGAGTGTTCTGAGGAATTGTTCGGATTAATACCAGCTGCTGAGTTTCACCACCGTACCACCCGCCAGAAATTGAAATACCATCCTGATCATCTGCATGAATGGCGGTCTTCCACCGTGTGGTTTTCTAGAAACTTTTTGCCTCGCACAACCACATTGTGGAATCACCTTCCAGCAATGGTATTTCCGAACCGATACGATATTGAAACCTTCAAGAAAAGAGCTTATTCCTTTTTAAAAGGCCGACAACGTACTTGCATTTCCCCTGGTGTTGCGGGTGCTCATGGGCGGCGGTAATCACTTACCATCAGGTGAGCCGCATGCTCGTTTGTCCCCTGTGTTATAAAAAAAAAAAAAACATAGTATAAAACGAAGTGGTATCCGCTGTCCGTCCGCTTAGATTTTTTAAACTCCTTAACTTTTAAACTACTCAATGGATTTTAATACCATTTTCAGCAATAGATACAACCATTTAAAAGGAAGGTTTATTTGTATAATACAGATTATGATATAGAAAAGAAGAAGTCAATTTCATGTGGGTTAAACCGCGGGAACGACGCGTCTATACATATACGTGTCTATTTGTAATATTAAAATAACCGTTTTTTTACTACATATGAATATAAATACGGTACACCAAAATAACATTTTTTATAATCTTTGTCAGTCTGTCTATTTGTTCCGGAACTTTTGTTAGCAGGTAGCTTATATAATAAGGAGTAACATAGGCTAGGAATGTATCTTTATTTTAGAAAAATAAAGTTATATTCCACGCGGACGAAGTCGTAGGTAATACTAGTCTTTATATATAGAAATTATGTGTCACGTTGTTTGACCGCGATGGACTCCTAAACTACTGAACCGATTGCAAATTTGATTTGCACATTGTGTGCAATTTCATACAACTTGAAAGATAGGATAGCTTACATCTCAATTTATAGTCGCAATATTATTTTATTCTAGAACCTTAGCCACAGCAACGCGTGGGTCTGATAGTTAATAATAAAAGAACTAAGCAGGTTAAAACTACACCAATTAAATGATTACAAAGCTTTATTATTTATACATTATGTTGTAAATTCTCACGATCCGTCATAAGTTGCTAAGTTAAGAAACAGGCCTATTTAATTGTTCATAATGTTTAATATAGATGTAGGATGTTACGTACATTTAGTTCTGTTAGTATTTTTTGTTTATTTATTTATTTGCTTCTGGCAACTTAATATTAATATCATGAATTAAACTTTATTTTTCTAAAATAAAAGTAGCCCAAGTTATTCCTTATTACCTGCCAATAAAAGTCCGTCAAAATCGGTCCAGCCATTTCAGAGATTAGCCAGAACAAACAGACAGACAGTCAAAAATTGTAAAAAATGTTATTTTGGTGTATGTACCGTATTTATATTCATAGGCATGTAGTAAAAAACTATAATTTCAATATTACAAACACACACAGACACACAGACACTCCAATTTTATTAATATATATAGATATATACTAGTAATATACATACATACATATAAAATTATGTATGTATGTATATTATTATTATATATGTGTAAAGATATCCGTAGAATACCAGTGTCGTGTCACCCCGTCACGGCATATGATGAGCGGAGACCTATTTGGTACTATAATGATAATAATAAAACTCTTTATTGTGCATAAAATAAAAGAACAAATAAACACAAAAAGAAAGAAATATGCGAACAAAACGCGGCCTTATCGCTCAAAGCGATCTCTTACAGACAAATAATCCAAATTTTAATTAAATATTATATTTGCTGCATATTTTATGTGTATATAACAAAACGTATTTTCTTTCCTTATTCTTTCTTTCTTACAAAAAGAACCCGGTATAAATAATATGTGATTATGTTATAATACCAACTTAGAAGTACCAGGGCAGCATAATTCCTATGAAAGTCTGTTTTGATAGAATTGCAAAGGAATGCAAACTAGAGTCGAGCGGGTGGGCGTGGTATTTTATTTACGCAACAGCTGACAGTTACGCGTA